CTCTTCAGATATATATATATATATATACATTTTATTCTTTTATGTTAAAGTTATTTAATTGAAATAATTTAATACTCTTGTCAAGTCTTTTTAAAAGTATATATACTTTTATACAGAAGATAATTAAATAAGTAATATTAATCGAATATATATGGTGAAAAAGCAATACATTTTGTAGGTTCTAGGTTTTGTGGTAGGTCCTGGACTACAGGCTGCTGTAACACCTCTTGGAGACCATGGCGTAACGTTTATGATACCTTTAAATATGTATACAGCAGCTGGTTGGATCAATGTGATAATGGGGATTTTTAATTTTATCTTTTTATTACCATGGAACTTTAAAGAACATAAAATTGCTATAAAAGAAGCTATGCGTAATGAGGGTAAAAGTACAGGTATAATTCATATTGTTTCTATTATACTTATCTTTAAGTTCAATATAATTTAAAGAAGCATAATAATGCATAAAGACTAATCATAATTGGAAGGGTTAATTTCTATTTTTATATCATATTTTTCTCTGGATCACATCTTTCGTGATCTTATTGCTAGTCTTTCATCGATTTTTGTATATTTCTAATGCGATTTATTGCATTTGCAGAAAAAGAAACGTGGAAAGCTATAAAACCGGACTATTTGGCATCATGGACTTTAATTTGTGCATTCTTTGTTTTGGTCTTTAATTTTGTTCTTCTTGAGACGTAAGTACGATCATTGAAATCTCAGTTTACCAATAAAATAAAACGTTTTATTAATTAATAAATTTTTTTGTGCAGTCTTGGTACTTCTCTTACCATGGATCAATTTGCTTGGACTAAGAAGGAAGCACTATATTATATGGGAATACTAATGAGCGTTGGAGCTGTGATAGCCTGTATTACATTCGCCACGATTGGACCACTTTGTAAAAAGTAATTATATGAAATTGTAATCTCTTCTAAAGATAATTAGATACTTTCTTAAGACTTTCAATACAGTAAGAACGTTTATTACATTTATAATGTTTGTAGCTGCAAGAAGATGATATCTTTCACTCTGTATACCATTAAATAATGTACATACAATTTTTCTTTATAGATTTAAAGAACGTAAGGTAATGTTATGGGGTGGATTCTTCTTCATGGTAATTGGACGAGTATTGTGTATCCCGTGGGGTCCAGATCCTCCAATAATAGCAGATTCTGGGCGTGAGTATCTATCAAATAAATATTTTCAAGAACTATATATACATATTTTTTTATATTTATAACATTGGGTTGTTTATAGATATTATATGATAATTTTGTTGTGAAAGTGCTTTAATATCTTTTGTAGCATATAATAATATCACGGTAGATGCGAACGGTACAGAGATCGTAGGATGCCCCGTTACTCAAGAATGGTGCATATATACTCCGCAAGTCACGATTACTCAATTTTTTATTGGCTACGGCTTTACATCCATAGGCTATCCGATAGGGGTTACTTTGATACAAACTATATTTAGCAAAATTCTCGGCCCGCGTCCACAAGGCGTGTGGATGGGTTTAATGACAGGTGCGGGTTGTGCGTCTCGCGTTTTAGGTCCGGTATTCGTAAGTTTCATTTATACTCGCTTAGGAACATATCATACATTTGGTATTACTGGCGTAATGCTAATCATTTCCATGTTGTGGTTACAACTTGTAAGTAAGCGCTTGATTATATCGGAGGTAAAGGAAAGCAATGACGCGCCGAACAGGCAAGGAAAGGATGTCGAAATTCCATTAGTCCATGTAAAATCTGATGATAATACTCAAACATCGCGTGAAGCTGTATAGCTTAACATCAGATCATGATTGTGATAATGAAAAGCTGTGTCGGCGAAGAAAATTATTTTTTATACAATGTGCAACTGCCACATCAAATTGTACATAAACATCAACAGATGTTATTAAGATAACATCTATGCAAATTGATCGATATTTTTTATGAATATATGTACAAATTACTATTACATTCTTTAAAATATATAGATATTTTATAAAGTTACATGCTTTGCCAAATATGGTTAAGAATGAATGGATGCTCAGAATAGTTATAAATACAAAACAATAATGAGACATTAATTGAAAGATTGTTTTTAATGCGCTTAAAATTTTCTAGTGAATTTGCTTTAAATTTTATTATATTTTTTATGTAAATCCAAATTGATTAATGTTATATTGTAATATGACATTAAATGTTAATGTGTAAGACTTGGATTATATAGATGATAAAAACTTGCCATAGTTAGTGGAAAATGGAATTAGTAAACTATTCTTCCAATATTTTTACTCTTTGAAGAGAAGCTATAACTTTGAACAATTATCATTAGTGCTATATTTTGTATACAGCACTACAGTGCTTAATATTTTAATAAGAATAAGTAAGCTCATATATGTGCACACGAGTATGTGTGCATATATCGATAAATACTATTATACAAATTGTAAGTTTTATATACACAAATTCTAGTTCTTCAAGCACTTTTATTAATTGCAAAATATTAGAAAATAGCACAAAAAGTAAGTTACTTTTATAATCTATTTTATACTCTGTACGCATTTTTATATATTTTATTGCTCTTTTATCAATTTTACGTTTACCGTTGTTTATCATTGCTTAATTAATGTTATGATATATCAAAATTTGAATAATGTCTAAATTAAAAATGGAATAGTACATAAGAGCGCCATTATATCTTCTAAACAGAAAGAATAATACTATGTACAAATACGTTAGATTAGTTAAATATTAGGTGATACAAAATTTGATTGTTTACTAAAGGATTATCCGAGACTTGTTTATCAAATTAAATTCTTTTTTTTTAAGTATTTTGTGTTATTAGGGCAATAACTGTTTTCACTCAAAATTTAGATGTTCTTTAGATTATTGTAACATTTATGATTAGCGTACTTTATTAGTGTCTTTCATAAGTACGACGTAAATGCAACATAAATCAATGCAAGAAGGGTACAGTTTGCTTTTTATTTTTTCAAGTGTAGCTTGAAGAGCAAAGACTGACCTATAATTAAAATTTTATAAAATTGTTTTACATTGAGGAATGAAGTTGATGTACACTGCACAAACACATAGATAGTACTACTGTTTAATTTTTTTAAATGACTGTTTCAAAAGACAATAATGTAAAAAAATTGTGATAAAAATAATTTACATTCAACATTAGAAAGTCATAATTAAATATATATATATTGTAGTTGTGGCAAATAGTTATAAAAAAAAAAAAGAAAAATTCAAATTAATAATAAGTTTTAGAACACAACTGACGTATTATGAAAAGAAATATAAACTCTATATATATATATATTTTTTTTTTCAAAGTGTAATAAAATTATAAATACATAAGGCAATTATATATATTCATATTTTATGAAATGCAATATTTAATCTCTAGGAGACAGGAAGCCAATTTACCGGCTTTTAATAATTTAATGTGAATTAACGTGATCAGTTCTTTATTCTATTTTATTGTCTGAAATAATAATTTTATTGATACACATTTTTTTGGTTGTATTGATATTTCAATGTATGTGTATTATATTGTACTGATATGTATTAATATTTATACTTTTGTTTCTCATCTTGAAAATTTTCATATACTTCTATATTATATATTTTATTATGAAAAGTGTGAAAATAATTATTCTAATAAAATATTTTAACAATAAAATTTGAAGATAAAAAAATTTTTTTAGTTGGAAGCCAATATATTGGCTGTAAAGCAAGCTCAACTTTTTCATAGATCATTATTATGGTATATATCTTAAAATTTTTAATTGAAAACTATAAAAGTCGTTTGAAAACTATCCTGTCTTCTAAAGATTTATTGATAATATATAGGCAACACAAAAATGTTTGCAGGATGGCACTCATACATTTATGTATCTATTATTTTGGAATTGTATCCAACAATTAAGAGCAAAATATATGGATTGTCAAGACTAAACATTGCAGAAACGGCAATCAAAGCAAATATTTAAGTCTGATATAATAAGTCTGCAATAATTATTGTTTTCATCACATATATAGTATGTAAATATATGAAATTCATAAAATAATATATTTATCAAAAAATCACATATATAGTATGTAAATATATGAAATTCATAAAATAATATATTTATCAAGAAATATTAAAGCTGAAAAAATCATTTCATTTATGCATTTATGGAAATTTTCTGTGTTGCCTACATATATACGTAGACATATTTTTCTATACACCGAAAATAATACAAATATTATACTTAATGGCAAATACAAATGTATATGGTATTTGTACATTTTATAATTAATGAAAATAAAATGATGAATATGAAGTTACAATAAATAATTTGTATTGCTCTTGTTTGTAAATACTAATTCTTTTCTGCTTTATTTTAACAATAAAAATTATGTATACACTAATATATAAAAATCTCAGTACAGGCAAAAATAAATTAAACTGGTTGTCAAATATTAAATTTTTAATTTTATTTTTCTATCGTATAGTAGAAATTGACTATCATTTCTTACATTTCTTAATTCTTATATTCATAACATGAATACAATAAAACCTTTAATTCTAAAAAAAGCTGTCGTAAAAAAATCGACACATTATATAAACACATAGATTCTCATAAATGCTGTGCTATCACTTATAAATGCTAATGATACGATAAGTGTGCATGGTTACTATGGATTACAAAAATGATTAATACATATCTCCTCTTAACATGAATTGTAGAAATGCATATTATTCGTAAAGATAATCTTACAATTAATTGCAATTAATCTTTCTTCTTTGGTTTCTTCGGATTACGCGAACGCGACTTTGCTTTGCAGAGTGGACAAATTGGTGCGTTCCTATGAATTTGCTGATGGCACGAGAGGCAAGATTTCATGGGCGGCGGTTGTTGCCTATAAAGCGATAGATATTTTATTACAGAAACTGCAGTAAGTAACGCTTTCAATTTTACATGAAAAGTGTAATAAGGGGACGAGATATACCAGTGGTACCTGAATGTTGGAGCGGGCGGCCCTGGGGCTGGCGGTAATGGTCTGGGCTCTGGCTTGCTCGGCCCTTGAAGCGGTTGCGGAGCTAGGAAGGGCGTAGAACCACCCGGATGCCCAGGATGGTGCAGCGCGAGCGGCGGTAACAGATCGTCACCTCGTACCTCCACTCTCCATTCCTTTTGCATCGGACGTTCAAAGTAACTATGAACAAACCGTCTACACAATAAAAGTTTGACTCAGCTCAGTCTGTAATGTCACTCTCCACTTATTGGCTGATACTGGACGCGCCTCCCTTACAGCCGATCCGCAACAGCTATACGTGACAATCAAGATACTCACTCAGGGGAGATGAGATCCGACTCGGTCTCATACAACTCCGGCAGCCTCTCCAGACCCAAAAATTCCCTGCGCATACGGTCAATGTCGTGCTTCAGCGGTTGATAATCATTGTTATGAATCAGCTTCGCCGTTTCCCTCGCCCTATTACGTGCCTCCTCCGCTTGCTTGATCACCGACTCCATCTAAACAAGTGAGCTTTATTATTGATGATTCCACAAAGAGCACCGATGTATCCTACGTCACAATTCTATTCTAATCTCGCTCGTTGAAATAAAAATCAAGCAATGCAAATTCACCGCATTGATGTCTGCGTGTATCTGGCGCAGCTCCTCTACGTGGGCCATTTTCTCCTGCATCAGCAAGTCCATCTCTTGCTTGTATTCTAACAAACATTTCTCCTCCTGCTCGGTCTGCTCCACTTCTTGCAGTATCCTCTGCTTCAGCTTCTCCAATTGCAGGGTTTTCGACCTAAGGGGGGGGGGGGGACACAAGGGAAAGAAATCATATAAATAAATTTCTTATGCAACACACATGAAAGGGCAATACGCAAGAGGGACATCCGCGTCCCCGTACCTAATGTCTTTCAAAGCTTCCAGCTTTGCGAAAATCACCGCCGTCTCGGACGCCGACATGTCGGAGGTTAATCTCCTAATTATTCACGATGTACTACGAGCTCCACGGAACTTCAGCGTCTTCAGCAGCGATTTCCCCCTCGAACTCGGGTTCGGCTACTGCATATTCGGTATCAAAGTGATTAATGCGATTAGCGAAAGAGACGAAAAGCGCGTAGGTACGGTGTCTCGCGGGGACGGTGTTACCACGCGACCGAGCGATCCCGATCGACCGGCGTACGACTTCGGCGTCTCGGCGAAGTTGTTTGACAGAACTATCAAACAGTAGTCGCGCGAGCACAGTACAGCGGACCACAGCGGACACGATCAGACCTTTAACTATATAATCAGAGAGGATCCGAGGACATGATTGCCTTTTGATTGTAACGCTAAAATGCCCTTAAAGTCCCTAGATTACACCTGGTACCGCAATCCATTAAAGTCCTAGATTATCAGAGAAGCGCGACCGGTGTTACGTTACGAGTCCTGATTGGCCAGACGGCCAATCATAAGATTGATTTATCGGTATTATAAACGGCTGCCGAATGAATCAATTTTATGATTGGCCATTCGACGTCATTTTTAATATTTTCTAATACTTTTGCGATACTGCCGGTCGCGCTTCTCTGATAATCTAGGACTCTACAATCCATAAGACTCAAATTTGGAGCCAAAATGACGTTTACATATAACTTAGCATAGTTAAATCATATATAAACAAGACCAAACATTCTAAATAAAAATATTGATTAATATAATTTATGATTTTCCTTCTTATTTACAAAATAGCTTCATACACACATACAACGAGATACTATTAAAGACCGTCAGCCCTGGACAAATTTTCATACCAACAAATGGGCCCGGAGGTAATTGCAGAGTGTTGACGTTATCGACTTTTGACATAAATTTGCGATTTATTTGAATAATACATTATTAAGATTATGATTTTTATTATATAAATGCTTTATAAATAAGTATGAATATTTTTAATGCTATAATACATATATATTGTCGTAAAATTACATTTTTCCCAACTGTTTTACCATCTCTTTGGATATTCAAACGTGGATGATTTTTAACTTTAAAAATGCAGTTTTAAATAAAGTTAGCAAGATATATGAATTACAATGTACATGTCTAAAAAACATTGATCTATTAATAAATCATAAAATTAATGTTATATTATTGACTAATTGCTTAAATTTCGACAATTACTAAACTGCCACGCTAACTCTTGTAAGGCTGTTGGTCTTTAAGCGAGCATCTCGTCGGTGGCCAGTACCTTATCGATGACGGTAAGGTCGGTAAATCATTGCGAGATTTCGGGAAACAAAAATAAATGTAGACGGCGCTTTCGAGTGCACAGATTTGCTGGGGAACGATCCTCTGCCCAAATCCTTCAACGAGACTCGCGAAATCGCCGATCTTGATTGGGTCCTGCGCAATCGGTCGTCGTTGGATATAGAAATCGTCACGATTCAACGGACGAAAGAGTCGCGCGCGGATCGCGCAGCTGAGAGGAAGGGAAGGGGAGACGAAGCGCGTTGTGAGCGCGAAGTGATCGCGAAAACGTGCTCTCGCCTCTTCTCCTCGCCTGATTCGACCTAGGGCGCGTCCCCGCGGAGATCCCGTTTTCAAGCGATCGCGCGCGGGTCGGGGGCGCGCGCGCGCACGCGGCGCGCGGACCGCGCGTGCGCGCCCCGTCAGGCCCTGGAGGGGCGTAGAAAGGAGGCCATATTGTACAGTTAAATTGAAAGAACGAAAATAATTGTATCGCCGTCGGCCGATCGCTCGCGCCCGCACCGCCATCGGTTCTCCTCTCTCCCCCCCCTCCGGTCTTCGTTTCCCCGCGTTAACGTTCGCGAACGGACGGCGCGAATCCTCTTCTTCTGCCCGAGCGCATCGCGTCGCCGTTGCCGTGCATCCGCGGCGGAGCCCGAGAGAAGCGTGAGAGAGAAAGAGAGAGCAGCCGAAGCACACACACGTCGGGAGCCAATCGGCGGCTCCTCGGGGGCCTCCTCTCTGCCCTTTGTATATAAGCCATACGTCGTCGCAGTAGCGCGGTTCCGACCCCGGGGGTAAAACCGACGTCGGCTCGCTGAGAGGTGCTTGTTGCTCGCTACGGTCAAGATGGGCACTCGGGACGACGAGTACGATTATTTATTTAAAGGTAAATCGCCTCACTTCTTTCTCACACCTCCTTCCTCCTTCTGTCTCTCTCTCTCTCTTCTCGGACGTGTGTGACTGCTATCTCTCTTTTTTTTTTTTTTCCTATTTCTCTCTTCTCATACCCGGGAGATGCTCTCGCACCGCGACCGACGACGAGTATATCGCCTCCCGTTTCCGTCGCGGCGACGACGACGACGACGACGACGACGCGCACGTCACGCCAAACGTCACCTCGTGAACGAACGACCGTCCGCGGCGAAACGCGCGCACGATGACATCAGAAACGATGACCCACCGTCGGCCGCGGCGGCGGTTACGTTCTCCGCGGGGGGAGCGTCCCGCCGTGATTCTCCTCGGGGGACGACTTCCTGGTCGACGGCTCCGCCGATTCCGGTCCTCCTCTCGAGCCTTCCTCCTCCCTCCCCCCCCTCCCCCTGCCCGTCCCTGCCTCTCCCTGTCTCCTGACTCGGACAGCCTTTCTTTCCCCGCGTCGAGAAAAACGCCCGCGATTGATACATTACGTATGTAATTGGGCGCGATATATACATACACACATACACGCATACATACGACGGTGTTATATATCCGCACGTCGTGTTGGGTATGTACGCGCGCGTGAATTCGTGCGTGTGCGTATGACATATATGAAATTTCTTTCGGCCTTGTCATTCCGCATCATCTGCACTTTCGTGGAACAGAAGGAGCGCGAGGGGGAGAAAGAGAGAGCAAAGATTACTGTAAACGTTATCGCCAGCTCTCTCTTTCTCTCTCTCTCTCTCGTCAGCTGTTGTATCAGTCTTGTTCTCTATTAATCTTTCGCGACAATTAACGTCAGTTAACACGCTCGTGGAATTTGGATGTTTGGCAGAAATCATTCGGTTACTTGGCATTGCCGTTTCACGGGATGCTTCCATCAATTTGGTCAATCTTGACCCTTGACTTAATAGGAATATAATGTAATCATACATTCGGTCACTGTCACTGTCGTGATCTGAATATACATGGCGTTACAGTAGGCAGATAAGTTAGATTAAGCATATTCTTATTATTTGGATTTTTTTTTTCTTTCAGTAATCGTCATTCGCATGCAGAATTGATTTTACAAAACTTATTTGAAAGATGGGAATTACATATGTACAACAAAACGTTTCTCAATTTTAATGTGTTGAAATAATTTATTAATAAAAATTTAATATAAATTTAATGTAAATTTAGCTTTAGAGAAATGTGGAAATATGTATGAACATGATATATATATATATATATATATATATCTCATGTTTATATTTCTTACTTTGGGGAGAGCATATGTAGAATGACAGGGGACCAGTGAAATTCCTGCTATGCTTTTATTTCCCATGTTTTATGTCTGAGTAGCAATCTGTGAAAAGAATACACACACATGCACACTATACATGATCATGATGTGGCACTGATTCACTGATATATGACACAATCTTTTCAGTTTTACAGATAAAGAGCTCTAGCAATATTTATTATATTTATTATACTTTTACAACTAATCAATGTTTGCGTTTATTATACAATGATTCAGAATTTTATGTAATAATTAGAAAATTTAGATTTTTGTCTTAAGTAAAAATTTGATCTTAGGGGAGGAATATTCTGATGATATCTGTTTACTTAGATATTTATTACCTCAGTTTATGCATTGCCAAGAAGGGACTTGGTTTATAAAAGATATTTAATCACACTCACCCGTCCAAACCTTATCCTATCGCCATATGTTTATCACATTCTAATGCTCCTGACTAGTTTAAATTCGCCCATCTTATTCTTACTCCTATTTATCGTCTTTATCTATATTTATCTCTCTGCTTATACCTATTCATCTTCCTATTCGTTTACCATCTTTTAGTAGTATACATTTTATTTCCTATTACTAATTTATTTATCACAGCCTTTATGATATCTGTTTACTTTGAAACAGATTTAACTGTTTTATAGTATAGTTTTCATGTGAAAAATGTTAAATGAAATTATATATTTTAGATGTTTTGAAAACATAATACATATATTTTTTAACTTTGTAGTATAAAAATTATACTTAATCTCAGTGATACATTCTGAGATAATGCAAAACACTCAAAAATTTCTAATTGCTATTATCTTTAGATATCAACTGTACTTATAGTCTTTTAATATATTAAAACAATTGCAAAATCAAACATATTTGATACGTGATCTACTCAGGTGTACATACCTGAGATGATAGAGAAAAAAATACAATTACTATAAAAACTTTTTACATTTTTCACTGAATGATCCTGTCAATCTCAAAATTTAATTATTACCGAATAAATCTAATTTATCTCTGTTTGCCTTTTCAGTTGTTCTTATCGGAGATTCTGGAGTAGGAAAAAGTAATCTCCTATCCCGATTTACAAGAAATGAATTCAATTTGGAATCGAAGTCTACTATCGGAGTCGAATTTGCAACGCGCAGTATACAAGTAGATGGTAAAACGATTAAAGCCCAAATTTGGGATACAGCTGGGCAAGAGCGCTATCGTGCGATTACCTCTGCGTAAGTTTAAATTTTACATATTTAGAGGATCAAAAAATATGAAGATAACAATAGCGTATTTACGACGAATTATTTTAAGTAATGCCAAGATACATGAATTATATCACGCAACGAAGCAAGTTACACTCTTTAATATTCTGCTAGAAATATTGAGAAACAAAAGGAAAAAAGGATAAGTAATCCTGATTGTTCCTTAAATAATTGAATAATAAAGTATTAAATCCTTTAAAGAGAATTAAAGTTCTGATGGTAAAATTTGACACGTTATACACTCTAATTGAACTTAACAGAAAAACAAAAATTGATTATGTTATCGGGATTTGTCAAAATTGTGTTACGTTCAATATTATTACTAAGCAATTATATGATTAAATTTCTATTACTGTTAAAAAAATCAATAATAAAAAATATAAAAAAAGTTGAAGCAGAAATTTATTTCCCATAAAATTGGCATTTGTTATATAAATTTATTACATATCAATTTATGACAATTTATATCAATAATCTTTCTCTAATTACTAGATATTACCGCGGAGCAGTTGGTGCATTACTCGTGTATGATATTGCAAAACACCTGACGTATGAAAATGTAGAAAGATGGTTACGAGAATTACGGGACCATGCTGATCAGAATATTG